TTTAATGAAAACTATTAAAACTTTTTAATGACATTATTATGTAAATAATTAAACCAAATTTATATCACATATACAATATATCCTCTATATATTAATAGAGAAGACAATATGTGAAAATCCTAGGTGTCATCCAAATAAGATTTTAAAGAACTTTTAATGAAAACTATTAAAACTTTTTAATGATATTATTGTGTAAATAATTAAACTAAATTTATATCACATATACAATATATACTATTAAACAAATATGGAAGCAAGGAACATGTGATAATTAATATGAAAGATTTTATTTAAAGAATATAAAGTATATGTGAGAATATCTTTTTTTCAATGACTATTAGATTTTTTTGACATGCGTTAGAATATTCAAAAAAAAATTCATGATTTTTTTAATATATGGAAGAAATTAAAAATWAMAAAKATATATCTCCAGTATAGATAAATATATTGATAAATATATTTTATCTTACAAAATTTAATTTGCATGATACTTAGCTAAAATGTAGAATATTTTTTAGAAATGCCACTTTTCAAAAATGTCATCATTTTGAATTTTTTTTTAAAATGCCACTAATCCTCTCTATATTAATTGAATAGACAATTGGTGAAAAAATCATATGTATTATTCAATGAGAGTTTTAGGGAATATGTCATTTAAATTAACTAATGAAAATATTTTAATTAAAATTATATGTCATGGTGGAAATCTATATATGTTTTTATTAATTTTATAACATAAACACATTAATATATATATTTTACAGAATTAAGTTTAACTAAATATAATATTTAGACTTACTATATCATCTATTTTAAAAAAAAATTGATATATTAAAAAGCTTTTTATTATTATAATCTAACAATATTATTTATTTGTTGATGTCTTGATGATAACTACATTTATAAATATTTTTATATTTTATTATTAGAAAACATATATTTTTTGTTTGACAAATTTATATAAATCTAAAATTTATTTGATTTATCGCATACTCCACATTTTACACAAATAATAAAACTCAATTTGACATTTCAAATAAATTGAAATAAATAATATTTACATTAGTTTTAATATTTTTATGCAAAATTGATCAAAGCATATGACATTGAAATATGTTTAGTAAAAATTTAATTTTATTATATTTTTGCACAATACATATCATTTTGTACGTTTAGAAATATTAGAATACACGTCTAAATGTTAAGATCGAATAGAAAATATATTTAAATATTTAATCCCATGTTTGGTGTGGGTCAAAATCTAGTTGTATAACATTTAAGCTATGTATAAATTGATGGAGCTATTAACTTACCATGGACTTGGACTTGGCTTGGACATATCTAATCGGGGTGGTCAACATATGTATGGTTAATAATTATTATGAGTCATGAGACATATTCTTTTATGAGCTAAAGAATCCCGATTGAAGCCTAAACTAATTTTTGGAACCTGTGATACGCCACATCAAAAAAAAAAAAAATGTAGATAATTAGATAGATTGGATTTGTTCGATCTTAATCTCTAGAATGTCATGCGTGTGTTATGTTTATCGTAAAAGTAAGAATATTATGTGATATGTTATGTTAATTGTATTGCTTAAGTTAAATTTGAACTCGTAGTTGTGTTGATGTTTTGCGTCTTCATATAACCGATTGAATTTGCCGTTATGATCACTAAGTACCAAAAAGGCAAAACAATTTTTATTTTTAACTAGACCGGTAGATCATACAACTCATTAACATCCTTAATCTTGTCTACTAGACATGTCCTTACTCCTTACCAAAACTCGAAAACTTCTTAATATTGACTCGAGTGATGTTTGAAATCATAAAAAAAAACTTTTGCTCGATCGATCGGCATAAGATATTTATTAGCTTTCGCAACCAGATTCTTGGATGGAACTTTCAGCCACTTATTTAGTTGTCATGTGAAAGAGATGTATGACTAATAAATTGATTTTCTTTTTATGGAAAAACACCGACTCAAAGGTATATTTCAGCAAGAAAAATATGAATCTTTC